GGGTCCTGATCCGGGTCTCCCACGCAGGTGCAGGGGCCCAACGTTTTGTTCTGTCCATCGCTGCTTCCCCAGGTCACAAACAGGGAGCTGGATGGGAAGTGCAGAAGTGGGACACAAACAAGCCTCCCTTTGCTCCCTTTCTGATGTGCTGGGAACACTCTGCACTTGCTCCTTGCCTTCCAGCTTTGCGCTAGGCACTGCACTGGGGCTGAGGTGACAGAAGGGGACAGAGATGATCTCTGCTCTCAGGATCCTAAGGCTTGGGGAGAGAGCATGGGAGTGGTGACCTGTGGGGAGGGCTGATGGGGGAAGGAAGTAGGTAGGGTTTGGGGAACCCAGGTTTGCCGTAACTTTAGGGCACTAAGGAAGGCTTCTTGGAGGAAGAACCATCTAAAATTGAGACATTAAGTGTAGAAAAATTGACATAAGTGTAGAAAACTGCCAAGACTTGAGTATGCTGTAGCTGTGGCTCCTGCTGCTGCACACCCAGGTCCCTGCAGAGGACTTGAGGCTCTGCTGTTCGTGCTCAGCCTTTCCTGGATGGCACATGTGCAGGTCAGACTCCCGTGACTGCCCAGGCAGGGAGTGGCCAGCCTGCCTCAGCCTCATGGGTTTCCGCAAGGAGAGCATGGCTGTGCCCAACTGGCATGCATGACTGGCATGTCCTTGGCTGTGTTCCTACGTGGGGTACAGTGGGCAGAGGTGAGCTCTCTCACTGGAACTTGACACAGGTGTCTCTCTCTGACACTGGCTCAGTTGGAAGCACCTGGCCTCTGTGCCCAAGGTGCTGTTGCACTGAGGCTGGCATTGAACATGCTGTTAGCATGCCCATGTGTGGCCGTCCCGGTCAAGTTAAGGATGCTCGTCATCCATCTTGGCCCTTTGAGAAAGCCTCTTTCAAGGTGGTGTCTGTGGCAGTAGTGCAGGAACAGCTGGCTCGGGGAGGCTGGGGCTACCTTCTTAGCACCTCGGAGCGCCTTCTGGCTGTGCTTGTACTCAGGGAACATGAGAAAAGCACCCGAGCATGTTGTCTAGAGTTGATTTTCCTGTGGCACTGAGTTCCCCTCTGCCAGTCTTCCCTTGTCACACACCCTGCCGAGCAGTAGCATTGGACCTGAAAAAGAGTCAGAAGCAAAGAGCGCCCAAAGGTTGGCCCTGAGAGGGTCAGGGGTGGAGGGCTGTGTGTCTGGAGCCTGCGTGTGCCGCCGTTCAGAGCTGGGGACCTTTCAGGGCACTGGGGGCGAGTCCTTCCTCTGCTTCCAAGAGACTGGCTAGCCCTTGCCAACTTGACTCTTCGGGCTGTCCTCAAACACTGGCATTGGGGTTTTCTTTACCAGGTTCTAAGCACACATGAGGCCACCTGGAGGAGCATCTCCTCAGTAAGTACTGCCTGTGGACATGAGCACGCTGACTGGGGGCCTGTACTCCTGCTGCTCCTCCTAGCCCGTGCCCTTGCCCTTGTGTGAACTGCACGAGACACAGCCCTAGGGAAACAGGCCCCATCCCGGGGGCTCAGCCTTCTTCCTCCAGCCTTGGCTGATCTGAGTCTTCTTTCTTTCTGTTCCCCTCTAGCAACAAGCAATTGTGAGTATTCTCCTCTGCCTGTGCAATTGGGGTTGGGAGTCCTGATGACGAGGCAGGGATCCCCAAAGGAGCAGCCCTCACCAGGCTGGGGGTGTCCCCAGCTGGCAACTCACAATTAGCCAGCCTTCCGAGTCCTCCCTGGTGGGCAGCAGGGAGCTGGCTCAAGGACCTGGGTGCTGAAGTGGGGACTCTGTCAGACTCCCCAAATCTCACCTTTGCCCTGGGCCTCCTTGCAGCCTCCGTCAGCAAAGTATGGTGGGCGCCACACGGTGACCATGATCCCGGGAGACGGAATCGGGCCCGAGCTCATGTTGCACGTCAAATCTGTGTTCAGGTACAAAGCCTTTTCCTCGACAGGGGTGGGTGAGGGGAGTACCAAGAACTCTGTGCTGAGATGCGCAGTGAACCCCAAACCCACTGGGTGGGTGGGAGTGGGCCTACCCCATGGGCCTGGCTGGGCACTGGCACTGGCAGCAGTGTGCACCCTGGAGGTCCAGCATGCCCCCATCAGTTGCACCAGCGGAGCCAGGTCAGAGTGGGTGGCAGCAGGCGTCTGTACCTGATGGCCTCAAGCTGTGGTCCTGAGCCAGCTCTGCCCCAGGCATGCGTGTGTGCCAGTGGACTTTGAGGAAGTGCATGTGAGCTCCAACGCCGACGAGGAGGACATCCGCAACGCCATCATGGCCATCCGTCGGAACCGTGTGGCCTTGAAAGGTGCACTGGGGGCGAGGCCGGGGCCAGCTCCTCCTCTCAGGTTTCCAGGCTTTGCCAACTGCAGCTGGGGTGGTGGTCATGGTGGGGTTAGGGTGTGTGTTTCCACAAGCCTGCGCACGTGACTGCGTGAGATGTCATCACGCCTCCAGCCATCCTGAGGCGCCCTTGGCTGGAATTAGCCCTACTCTAGGTCTTTCATAAGCTCGCTGGCTTATGCCTCCTGAGCGCACCCTGCATTGGTGCAGGCCTTTGGTGGTTTCCAGCAGGCATTTGGCCCCCGGCCCTGTGTGAACCAAACCCGTTAGGAGCCCTGGCAGGCTACCGAGAAAGGCCTCTCCATCTGGCACACTCTCACTACCTGCCAGCAGCTGCAGCCCCTGTCCTTCCCTTCCTCTAGTTACTGTGGCTCCTCCTGAGCTGAGCCATGGGTAGCTCCTTAAGTTTGGGTCTGGCAGTCAAGGTCACCTTGCTGGCCCCCAGCTGGCTGGGCAGCCTGTTCAAGGCAGGCTGTGTGTGGGCAGGGAGTGGCAGAGCCTCTAGCCAGCCGCCAGCCCTTAGGTTCTTGTTGGTCCATTCCTTCTGTAAGGGTTTATGGAGCACCTTCTGCGAGGCCCCCTGGAACTCAGCAGCCTTCATTTGAGCCTGTGTGTCTTGTCTCTGTTCTATAGGCAACATTGAAACCAACCATAACCTGCCACCCTCCCACAAATCCCGAAACAACATACTTCGGTAAAGATGGTCGCTCGGATGCTTGGGGTGGGCTCTTCCCCGGAGAAGGGGGTAATGGTGGCGGGGGCAGCTGCAGGTGCGTCAGAGGAGCTGCCAGAAAGCCCATCCCAGCCTGTTCCATACCTGTACCCCCCCAGCACCAGCCTGGACCTCTATGCCAATGTCATCCACTGTAAGAGCCTGCCAGGAGTGGTGACACGACACAAGGACATAGACATACTCATCGTGCGGGAGAACACGGAGGGCGAGTATAGCAGCCTGGAGCATGAGGTGGGCAAGGTCATGGGCTGGGACGGGCCTGCCAGGGGCACCCGGAGGCTGGTGCCTGCCACTGTGCCCCCAGTGTGTTTGCTTGCTCGGCCATTGTGGCTCGACAGGCTTCGTGATGCCAGGCCGCGACAGGACACAAGTCTGGTTCCTCACCTCTGACCTTCCCTGCTCCCTTCTCAGAGCGTGGCAGGAGTGGTAGAGAGCCTGAAGATCATCACCAAGGCCAAGTCGCTCCGGATTGCTGAGTATGCCTTCAAGCTGGCCCAGGACAGTGGGCGCAAGAAAGTGACAGCTGTACACAAGGCCAACATCATGTATGTATCCCTACTCTGTGGTCTTTGGGTCTTGGGGCTCCTTGGCCCTGACCTGCCATGAAGTGGGCGCACCTAGGGCTGTGCCCTCAGGGGCGGTGGGACAGGAACGATAGGTTGGAAGGTCTACCACCTGCTCCTGTGGCTGGTCATTGCAGCCAGCCAAGCCCATGTCCTGTGTTCCCACCCCCCTGCCAGGAAACTGGGCGATGGGCTTTTCCTGCAGTGCTGCCGTGAGGTGGCGGCTGGCTACCCCCAGATCACTTTCGAGAGCATGATAGTGGACAACACCACGATGCAGGTGGGAGGCCTGCCCCTACCGCAACGTGGCCCCGCCCCTGTGTTCCCGAGTCTGCTCTTGAGCTTCTTGCTTGCTCTGCAGCTGGTGTCCCGGCCCCAGCAGTTCGACGTCATGGTGATGCCCAATCTCTATGGCAACATCGTCAACAACGTGTGTGCAGGGCTGGTTGGGGGCCCAGGCCTTGTGGCTGGGGCCAATTACGGCCATGTGTATGCAGTGTTCGAGACGGTGAGCGTACTGGCGACTCAGTCACCAGCCCCCCCGGACCCTCCCTCCGCCCCTGCACCCCATCCAGCAAGGCCTGCTTCACTGGGGCTAGTGCTTTCCCCAGGCCCTGGCACCCGTCCACCTACTTCTGGTGTCTGAGGATGCAGCCGTTTGGGCCGCAGTGTGTGAGTGGGTCCCCTGCTCTGTGCGCTGTGTTTCCACCCAGCCTCCTCTGTTTCCCCTTTCCAGGCTACCAGGAACACGGGCAAGAGTATTGCTAACAAGAACATTGCCAATCCCACAGCTACGCTGCTAGCCAGCTGCATGATGCTGGACCACCTGAAGTAAGTGGCTTCTGACACCTGCCTGGGGCCGTGGGGCACAGCCCTCTGGGCTCCAAAGGCTAAAGGCTGTACCTCTGCCTCGCCAGGCTCCACTCCTACGCTGCCTCCATCCGCAAGGCTGTCTTGGCATCCATGGACAATGAAAACGTGAGGCTCCTCCTGCCCCCTGCCCTGACTCCTGCCCCCAGCACTCCATTCTTTAGCCTTGGCAGGGCGGGGAGGGGTGGTGTCTCTCCACCTTACTACCTGCCTGTCTCCTCCAGATACACACCCCAGACATTGGGGGCCAGGGCACCACGTCTGAAGCCATTCAGGACATCATCCGCAACATCCGCATCATCAACGGCCGGGCTGTGGAGGCCTAGATGGCAGAGGCCTGCGCTGTGACCCCCTGCACGCCCCCAGCATGCACAGCCCACTCCGCAATAAACCAACTGCCTACCCTCACTCAGGGGCTGCTCTTTAGCTGACACTTTATTAAGAAAGAGACACACACACTCAGGAGGGCCTTAGGCAGGGCACCCCGGCAGCCCCTGCCCTGGGGGTGGGAGAGGGTCTGACTTTCCCTCAAGGCACTGAGCTGGCCCCGAGGTGGAACTGTGGCAGCCCCAGAGGTGCCTAGGGGTTGAGCCAGGGGTGCTGCAGGCAGTCGGCGGCGCTGGCCCGCTTCTCCGGGATGTACTCCATCATGGGCAGCAGGAAGGCGCTGAACTGCGTGGCCTGCTCCAGCGGCCACTCGTACTTCTCCATCAGCACCTCGTACAGGCCCCAGTGCTTGAGATTGTGGATGTGCCGCAGCTGTCCTGGCGGGTGGGGGAGGGGGCGAGGTTTATCCGGGGGTGGGGGGGCCCTGGGGCTTCAGTTCCCTGCCCCCCTGCTCGGCCTGCCTCCACGGTCCCCACCTCTGCGGTTGAAGAACTCCCGGGAATAGCGGCCAGAGAGGGCGAAAGCTGGCGGGATGTCTCCCAGAAGCTCCACAATGTGGGCAATGTGGTCTGCGGGCAAGAAGAGGTTGGCAGGCATGCCAGGCCCTGGCCTTGTTCCCCGGCATATGTCCGGGCCTGGGCCTGCCTTGCCTTACCCTCATCACGACTGTAATCTTCTCCAGAGTGAGGCTCGAACAGGTAGTCACCGGTGGCCAGCTCAAAGGCCTGCAGGAGAGGCAAGGGTGAGGGATGGCAGGTGGGCCGGGCCTGTGGTCGCCAGGTACCCCGAAAACACACCATGCATGCTGTGCTCCAGATGTCGGCCGGGGGCCCGTACTCGGCCCCGATCAGTACTTCCACAGCCCGGTACTGCCGAGTCTGGATGTCTTCAGTGAAGTGCTTGTGCTGGAAGCAAGGAGGACCCTAGACACAGGCGCCAGGGCCCAGGCTGGCATGCCCCCACTCCCCATCAGTGTCCCGAGGGATTCCCCATGTGGCCCTGGAGGGAGTGGTGTGGGGGGAGGCGAGACTGAGGCTGGCCCTTCCTGGTAGCCCTCTGCCCCCTGCCCCTTGCTCCAGGCCCATTGCCTGGCAGGGGCCCATGTTGGTTGCAAGCAGGATGCTGCTGAGTGAGCCTCTGCCTGGCCAGTGGCCTGTGGCAAGCTCCCCCCCTCAGCCCGGAGCCCTGCTCGCCAGGGCTCTTGTACCACCCAGCAGGCGTTGCCCAGGTCAGCGATCTTGATCTTAATCTTGTCTGCATTCTGAGGCTCCAGTGGGTTCACCAGGAGATTAGAGGCACCATAGGGTGCTGAGGAGGGGAGAGGAGAGAGGCAGACTGAGCCGAGCCTGCACCTCCCGGCCCTCGCACCCACCCAGGCCCCGTGCACTCACTGCTGGGTGACAGCAGGCCCCCGGTCTCACGCTGGTTGGACGAGCCTGAGAGGATGGAGCAAGAGGCAGGAGAGAAGAGGGAGCCGGAGAAGCCTGAGGTCTGTGAGCCGGTGCTGAGGCTGCGGCCGCCCCCCAGGGCGGGGGATGAGGGGGCTGGGGAGGGGCCAGCCCCGGGGCCCCCGGCGTGACAGCCAGAAGAAGACGTGGAGCCGCTGCCCCCCTCGAGCCTGAAGGTGGAGTCTGAGGAGATGGGCAGAGGTGATGTGTGAACAGATGGCATAGCACGGCCTGTGCATGCGCCTGGGCGCAGCGCTGCCTCCAGCCCCTCACCCTCAGCCGCTGCGTCCATGGCCTCGAGCCGCTGCAGGTCCCGCAGACGCTCCTCCAGCAGCCGCTTCTGCTGTTTCCGTTTACGCCTCATCTTCTTCCTCTTGTTTTTGGACAGCTTACCAGTCTGCTGCCAGAGCCAGGGTCACCCCCAGGCTCCATCACCCACTCCCAGTGCACCCAACTGTGGTGTTCCTGCCTAGGGCCCCCATGGCTGCCAGAATGGGATGCCCCCTACACCTCCCCCTCATTGCCTGAAGCTCCCCTGGCGAGAACTCGAGACCCACCCGTGCACCACCATCATGGGGTCCCTGGGCTCCTCCAGGCAGGAGGACCACTTACCAAGACCTCCGGGGGGGCAGTGCTGACTGAGGGTGCAGGGAAAAGGCAATAGAGAGTCGGGCAGGTGCCCAGCCCCAGAGGTCCCTGCTGGTGCCCCTCGGGTGCTCCCTACCTGTGGAGCGGGATGGGGGTGGGGCCCCCGACTGCTGCCACTCCGTGGCCTCGGCAGCCAGACGCCGGATGTAGGCGTCCCCGACACACAGCAGGATGTTCTCGGGCTTGATGTCCGTGTGGATGATCTTGCACTTGGTGTGCAGATAGTCCAGGCCATGAAGCACCTGTGGTGGGCCAGCCGCTTGGCTTCTCAAGCTCTGCTCAGGCTGGGCTGGCCTGGCCGGCACTCGCTGGGTGCTGCACTCACCTGCCTCACGATGCTCTTGACACACGGTACAGGCAGGCCCTGGTAATTGGACTTGATGATCCACTTGAGGAGTTGGTGGCCCAGCACCTCCAGTACCATGCACACATCTGGGTCTGGAGTAAAGGCTGGCCACCAGGCACAGAGCCGGGCACAGACCCTACCCCCCTCCACTGTCAGAGATGGGCATTCTGTGTCCATCCCCCTAGGTCTCTCAGCACGCTCCCTGAAGAGCTGGGGGGACAGGTGCACAGGTGACCCCTTTAGAGGTAACAACACCTACAAAAGATGGCCTGGCTGGTGACCCACGCAGCCTTAGGCACACCTCAACACCAAATCAGTACAGACCACTGTCACTGCAGGGGGAAAATGCTCATTGTGCAAATGGGCAAACTGAGGCCCTGGTGGCTAGGAAGACCTGCAAAGGATACGGACTCCATTAACCCCTGAGATCCTGAAATCGTCAATGAGCTGAACGATGGTCTCTCTTTTGGGGTCGCTGGGGTCACTGTCCCGCACCTGGAACGAGAGCCTCTTGTCAGCTGCCCCCTCAGCGTAGCTGGAAGCAGCTCTGGTCCCTCTGCTGCTCCAGCCGGGCCCTGTGCCTCAGCCTTCGCCAGCTGGAGCCTGCCCCTCTGGGTGCTCCGCCCCGCCAAGCCCCGGCAGGGGCAGGCTGGGCACCCTCAGTGCCAGGCCACGAGCAGCTCCCGGGGAGCAGGGAGCGGTAGGGGAGGTGCCTCACACATTTCAGGAGCTTGATCTCATCCACAGCTGTCTCCGTGTAATGCCCTGCGCTCTTGACCACTTTGAGTGCCACGAAGCGCTTGCGCCTGTAATACACACCGAGACCCCTCACTGCGCTAGCCCCGAGCCAGGGCCTCGCCACACAGGGCTCGGGGGTCACAGGTCACACTCACTGGATGTCCCAGCAGAGCCACACGGTGGAGAAGTGGCCCCAGCCCAGCTTGCGAACCACGTGGTAGCGCCCATTGAACAGGTCCCCGATCTTCACGGGGTAGTAGCCGCCTATCAAGGTCCGCAGATGATGGATGACAGTGGGGAATTCTCGGGCTCCCCTCCTCCGCACCCTCCCGAAGCTGGCGCCGCCAGGCTGGCCGTCTGGCTAGCGTGAGCCGACCCCCACCTCCCGCCATTGAGAGCTCCTGTACTGGCCGGGTGGCCGCTTGCAGCGAGACCAGGCCTCACCCTTGCAGTAGTCTTTGGGATCTTCCTGTTCTTCATCATCAGAGCCAAGGAGTCCCTGCAGCATCCGAGGTGCCGGTGGCGCTGCAGCCAGTTCAGAGCCCGAGGACTCAGGCCCGCAGGAAGCCTGCGAACTGTGGGCGGGGTGGGCGGCCGGGCAGTGAGCACGCAAGGCCCCGGGTGGTGCCCCAGCCGGCCCGGCCAAGCCCTACCTGCTGCTGCTGCTGCCACTGTCCCCGCCGCCACCGCCACCGCCACCGCCCGCGCTGGCGTTCATCCCAGCCTCGCGGCCCGCGACTCCGGCGCCCCCGGCGGCTGCTCCTGTGGGGCCCAGAGGGGGCCCGCGCATTTATAGCCTCGGCCGCTGCTGATCTCACCCGCCTTTATAAATAGCCTCCCAGCTGCTCGGCAGTGGGCAAGGTATGCGGCGCGGGAGGGGATGGCGCGCGACGGTGGCCCGGAGAGGCCGGCCCAGTGAGCCCCCCCACCTCCACTTCGCCCCAGCCCGGGGGGCAGTGCCGGCGCGCAGGGACACGGTGTGCGGTGACTCACGCCCAGGCACTGCTCCCAGCTCAGAACTGGCCGTGGGCGGAGGAACACCTACACGGGTGGGGGTAGGGGAGCAGGTAGGAAGCTACTAGAATCCCAAACTAAGCCCCCAGCACTCCAAGGGCTGACCTTGGGGTGTCTCTCAAAGGCTGTGGTTGACATGGCAACCGGATCCTCGGGCTGTGATCCAGGGCTCTAGGGAACTAGGGGTACTTTGGGAACTTAGAACATTCTTGAACCTCCCAAATGAGTCCCTGGGGGCGTCCCCCTGGCAATGATCTCTGCCATTCCCAGCAGAACCCCACTTGTACCCTTTCCCAGCCTAGTCTGCCTTTTTCCTGTGACCCATCCACCCATTAGAGCGACCATACGCCCCCGCAACCGGTGCCACTTGGGGTCCCCTGGCCCAGCAGGGTAAGAGGAAGCATGGGGAGTCGCCCACGCAGGGCTCTGCCATGGCGTTCTTTTTTACCGGCTGTGTACTCTGCACCTGGCACAGGAGGGGGCTACCAAGACCTCGGCTCCACGCCGCTGCCTCGGGGCTGCAGCCTGCATGCCCAGAAGCCTCCACAGCAGGCAGGACGGGTTGGAGCCAGCATGTACTGGCTTTGCTGCAGGATGCTCAGGGGGCGGTGGGGGAAGAGCCCCCTCTCTCGGGCGCAGCGGTCCCTGGTCCCTGTGTACCGCTGAGGAGGGGGTGCAGTCAGCGGGGAAGGGCGGGGCAACAATGTCACAAGGGGGCTTGCCAGTGACAGTGACCCTTGTGCCTGTGCCAGGGTGGGGGCACAAGGTACTGGCTGGGGATGGTGCTTTTCCTCCGAAATGCAAATATTTTATTTTCAGAAGTGACTCTCCAGCAAGCAAATAAATATCACGGGGGAGGGATCAGCATAAATTAGCAACGGGGCAGCAGCGAAGCCAGGGGCTGCTAGGGAGCTGGCGGAGCCCCTGCAGCCCTTGGCTCACTCCAGGAGCTCAGGAGGCACTCTGCTGCTGACTCCCACTTGCTGCTGTCAAAGCTGCTGGGCCCTGCACCTACTGTGGCCCACAGTGTCCAGTGCTCACAGGTCTGTCACTTTGTTCTCTACCAGGGCGGCAATCTGCTGCAGGCGGCAGGCCAGCTGCATCTTCTGGCCCTTGGGGTCCTCCTCCAGGGCGAGTATGATCTGCCAAAAAGTGGTGGGGTACAGTGGAAAGAGGAGGGTACCGCTGGAAGCCCTGCCCTGCTTCCACCACCACCACCACAGCAACCAGGCATCCAATGGGCAACCCAGAGGAAAGCCAAGCCCCGCCCCACCCCTCCCTCTCCGCCCCACCCCTTGGGCACGCGGCAGGTCTCACCTGGTCATAATACCTGTGGATGTGGTGGTAGAGTTCTTGCAGAGCCTCCAGACAGTGGGGGGCAGAGGTGTACTTCTGGGGGGAGGGGGGAAGGCAAGGGATGAGCCCTGAGACCCCAGCCTGGGCTGCAAGCTCTGAGGTTTCTCCCTCCACTCTGTCCAGGGCTGCAGGCTGAGCCCCAGGCTATGCCTCACCGTAGACAGCTCAGCAAGGGCTGAGTTCATGTCCTGGTAGCTTGCAGGCGAACTCTGGCGAATGTCAGCATAGTATCTGGGGGAGCCAGGCACAGTCAGTGGTGCTGCAGCCCACATGCCCTCCCTAGCCCCATGGGCACCGGTACCTACTTCTCCACCATCTGCTTGTAGCGAGGAATCTCACGGGCGTAGAGCAGTTTGTTCACAGGCGAGTCCTGCTCCAGGTTGAGGGGTACTAGGTGTGAGCTGGAAGGCTAAGGAGCCAGCTCTGTGCCCGGGGACTCCCAGCCAGAGCTCCCTTGTGCTCACCCGGCCCACTTTGTGCTCTGAGATGGTGCAGGAGTCGATGAAGGTCTGGGCAATGACGGCGAGGATGGCATCCACATTGTCTGACACACGCACGTCGAAGAGCAGCTGTGGATTCTTCAAGGCGTTCACCCAGAAGCGCAGAAGCAGGCTGGGGGCAGAGGCAGGGCTTGAGCTGCAGCTCCTCGCCCACCATGGAACTTGCTCTCCGCTCTTACCCTGCAGCCCAGCTGACAACCCAAGGTGGCCACAGTACTGCCAGGGCCCCCAGTCCTGTCCTGTGCATAAGACCCAGTTGCAGTGTGGTGGGCGCTATGGCGTAGCACGCTAAGCCTCTGTCTGTGCTGACACCATTCCCCATGGGCACCAGGTCTAGGCCAGTGCCTCTACTTCCCATCCAGCTCCCTGCTTGTGGCCTGGGAAAGCAGTGGAGGACGGCCCAGAGCCTTGGGACCCTGCACCCACGTGGGAGACCTGGAGGAAGCTCCTGGCTCCTGATTTTGGATCAGCTCAGCTCTGGCCATGGCGACCACTTAGGGAGTGAACCAGTGGATGGAAGATCTCTTTCTCCCACTGTCTCTAACTCTACCTTTCTTTTTTTTTCTTCTTTTTTTTTAAGATTTATTTTTTGTTGTAAAGTCAGATATATAGAGAGGAGGAGAGACAGAGAGGAAGATCTTCCGTCCAATGATTCACTCTCCAAGTGACCGCAATGGCCGGTGCTGCGCTGGTCCGAAGCCAGGAGCTTCTTCCAGGTCTCCCATGCGGGTGCAGGGTCCCAAGGCTTTGGGCCGTCCTCAACTGCTTTCCCAGGCCACAAGCAGGGAGCTGGATGGGAAGTGGGGCCCATATGGGATCCCGGCGCGTTCAAGGAGAGGACTTTAACTGTTACATCATCGCGCTGGGCCCAACTCTACCTTTCAAATAAATATATATATTTTTAAATCCGAAGGCCCAGAGGCTAAATTTTTGCCTTGCACGTGCCAGTATCTTATATGGACACCTGTTCATGTCCCAGTTGCTCCATTTCCCATCCAGCTCCCTTTTGTGGCCTGGGAAAGCAGTCGAGGACGGGCCAAGGCCTTGGGACCCTGCACCTGCGTGGGAGACCTGGAAGAGGCTCTTGGCTTCGGATTGGCTCAGCTCTGGCCGTTGCGGCCACTTGGGGAGTGAACTATCAGACGAAGGATCTTTCTCTCTGTTTCTCATCCTCTCTGTATATCTGCCTTTCCAATAGGAAAAAAAAAATCTTGAAAAGGCTCAAATGTCCCTGTGAATCTGTACTGGGGGTGGGCATGTGGCAAGCCTAGCATCCAGTGGCTTTCCTGAGTGGTGCTGTGGGCAGGGGCAGCAGGCAAGACACCTGTTAGTCTTCCAAATGTGTAGGGTCTCCGGGTCGTCAATGCCGTGCTTCTCCGCCTGCTTGTCCAGGAAGTCAAACAGGTACTTGATGGCAATGGGCACGGGCCGGTTCACGCTAAGGATGGCCTGGAATGTGTCATCCACAAACTTCTGCAGCGTGCCCTGTGAGGCAGCAAGCGAGGTCCGTGTGTGCGGGGGCAGGGGGTGTTGGAAGCTGGCGCTCTGCCCCTGCCGAGATCATGCCCATCCCTGCCTCCACCTCTCCCATCCTGGGGCTGGCACGCTGCACTGGCCATGCCGACCTTCATGGAGAGCAGCCGGGTGAGGTAGATCTCTGGGATGGTCTTGACCCGCGTGCGCTCCCGCTCCCGCAGGCTGCTGCGCCGCACCTTGGCCCCTTCGGGCTCGTCAGTGGCCTTCACCAGATGCCAGAGACGGATGCCGCCCTCCTCCGCGTCCTCTGGCATTGGGGGATCTGAGAAAATGGGGAGGCGGCCTTGGTGCACTGCCTAGCCCCCACTGCATGCTGTACAGCTAGGGACGCACGTGGACAGCGCTCTGGGGCTGAGGCACTCACTCTGCCCTGGGCCGCAGCTCTGGGCCTGGCTTTGTGAGACAGTGCCACCATGGTGTGGCTGGGGAATGAGCCCCACCGTTGCTCCATCCGGAACCTGAAGGGAATTGGGGGAGCAGAGTCGGTGCCCATGGGCTGGCTGATCCCCGAGGTGGGGCCCGCCCCTGCTTCTGCCCTGCCCTGCCCTGCCCTGCCTGCACGGGCACCTTGTAGTGCTGCAATGTGTTGAGTCTCTTCCAGTGGTTCTGAGTCACCGAGGTCAAGTCCTCGTCGGACAGAGTGAGGTGACCAGCCAGCCCTGAGCGCCACTCTGGAGGAACCGAGACAAACCAATGGCTCACGCCCCGTCCCGGGCTTTCCCATTCCCATTCGCACGCAGCACAACAAAGTGGAGTGGCTGCCCGTTGGTGGAGGGGCCAGGCCTGGAGCCCAGGACGGTGGGTAGGGAGGGCTCTCACCAAGGTCCAGGGCATGCACGCTGGGCCGCTGGGAGAAGGGAGTGCCTCTGTAGACTTGCTCCAACACCTTTTCCTTGACCTGGGTGATGGTGTCTGTGTCGAGCACCCGGGCCGGCACGTGCTGCACCTCGCTGTTCCCCACAGCCTCACCAGCCCCAGGACCCAACAGCACCATTAGCGTCAAGGGCTGGAAGTCCACATCTTCCCGCAGCAAGCGGCTGTCATTCAGGGTCCGTTTTGCCTTACCCGTCACCGCATCCACCGGCCCCTTGTCTACCTGGTACTGGATGGCCCGCAGCAGCATATACAGTGGCTCCCCAGCCACCTCCTGCAAACACCGAGATAGACCATGAGATGCCAGATGAGGCCCAGCCAAGGGCACCACAGGCAGAGGGCAGGGCAGCCAGCAGCTCAGTGCAACAGTGGCCGATGGACAGAAGGCTAGGGCAGGCCCTGGGTTGCTGCTTCAAGCCCTGCTCCCCCACATCTGGTAAGGGCAAATGGTGTGAACTTCTGTTTTCCACTCCTCTCTGGCCATGCCTCAGTGGGCCTGCGGGGCTGGGACAATCACTT